TGTTTTTATTACGTATTTACATTTATATTTATTCGTACTACTCGAAAAGGAATAAAATATTTATTGCGCCATCGCAATAAAATCGGGATAAACGTGGCTTTGTATTCCAAAAAAGCACAAAGAAGAAAATGAAAATTAGATTGGGTATGGGCATCATAGCTCCAAAAGCATGGAAAAGATTGGAGAAAACTGGTCATCCCGTGATGTCCTGATTGGACGTGATGCAATCATGTGTAATTTGCCATTCTCTTCCTATGAGGCTTTCTGTGAAAATCGATCATCTCAAATCAGATAGATTTCTTGAAAATCGTGAATGATGCAAACAGTCGAAAATGACAAAATTATTCTTCAAATACTGAACGCTTGTGACCATGATACTGTACGCAATCAGTATTATAGATCGGTAATAAGGTTCACATTTCATGAATCTCATCTGACGAAACATACACTACCGCGGTGGTAGGTATTAATAGTACATAACAGTCTTGATATGCACCTGTGCATGTTGATGTTTTTAGAAATCGCTATTAGTTCATGTAATCGTGCTACAAACTGTGGATCAGAAATATTCATCTTACATGCGCGTGATGTATATTTCACTTATGCCCATTTTACCAATGTAGATTAATTTTTTTCTCGGTTCATTTTACTTTTCGTCTTTTTCTAGTTCTAAAGAGTTAGAAAAAGAGGAAGAATAAACTTAATCTACGTTGATGGAAACGGACATTAATGCCCATTTTTCTAATTTTAAAAATCAGAAAAAACAGAATAATCCAACAAACGAGAATGAATTAAAATAGATTGAAATTTTTTCTATCCGAATGCGTATTTTAAATGCAAATACTTTTTTTTGGATTTAATTGAATTCAATTGAATTCAATTAGATGCAATTGGATTGAAAAACTGCATTTCCTATTCAAAATTTTGAATTGAACAGTATTCACAATTAAACACAGAAAAAACTAATATTATTTTTAGATTAAAAGGCATAGAGATATGCTTCATGCAATTCCTATAAATGAATAAAAATGCATTCAGAATTGAAAAGCATTCATTTTAACATTTGTGAATCAATATTTCTAAATCCATTTCAATCCATTTCAATCCATTCTCGTTTGCTGAGAATTTAGCAAAAACGAGCTATAGAAACTCTCCACCACCCCCACCAATTTTATCGGCGGTCCAATCAGGACGTCATGGAATGACCAGTTTTCTCTAATCTCTTCAATGCCTTTGGAACTTTACTCGTACTCAATCAAAGAAGACGAATTATATAATGTTTGTCATTCTCTTCCTGTGAAGCTCTCTAATTTTCACTTTCTTCTTTGTGCTTTTTTGAGATACAAACGGCCTCGTTTACCCCGATTTTATTACGATGGCTTTCTCGAACAGTACAAGTAAGTATAATGTAATACATAATAAAAACATAAATATTAAATATTAAACATAAATATTAAATATTATAATAATATATTATAATATTAAATATTATATTACTATGTTAGTTTTAATTTAACTTGCAAAACTCATTGTTTCGGACAGTTTTCGCACGATTTCTTCAATTTTTTATTTTCGCTCTGCCTTTTTTTATGTTCTGTCAATATTAATTCGTCATCGTTTGATGATGTCAAAAATTTCATGAGTACATATAAATCACCCATAAAATCAAAATTGACGCTACAGATTAGACATCAATTTTCAAATGAAGGCTATATCTGGCTACGGTCTACTTGCTGCTACGAATGTTTCGAAGCATTTTTTGATTGGTCAGGTAAAATTCTTTTTTTTAATTGATTAAGTAAAAGTTTCGAAACGTTTGTAGCATCAAGTGAACCCGAAATCAGATACTAATGACAAAATTAATACTACGTGATCACATACACGCTGCTTTTCTCATAAAAGCACCAAGTCCAACAATTACACCAACTGGCTCCAACAAATTTGTCGAGACCACTTTGTGTACACTTGCGATGTATCAAGTCCAGACGAACATACGACACTGGCAAGGAAAATTGCACCATTCAATCAATCAAACACACCAGTTGCACCGATGCAAATGTGCAGTGGATGTGTCTCAGCCGAAATCGCTATAAACTTGTGATTTTAATGTTATCATTCGAGTTTATAAATTATCAACGAAATGATAAAGATGCAGAGAAAAAAATTATAGTTTTTCAGCAATATACAAGATATTAAAAGTATTTATTTATATAGTATATATTTACATAATAAAAAAATCATGAATTTAATAATAAATCATCAAATTTATGTTAATAATCATACATTTTTATTAGTTGTCGGTAATATCATCGTTCTTCAATTATCTTCGGGCCCCCGGGGCCCTATTGATATGTTACAAAAATGCCCAAAGTATTAATTATAATAACTTCTTCTCTAGAGCGGAAATGTGAAAAGTGGAAATTTTTTGTACGATGTGGGTAATTGCATATGTACATACATGCATATATACATAAAAAAATTCACTTTTCAAGTTTCCGCTCTAAAGCAAAAGTTATATGATCCATACCCAGGGCTGATGATCTTAATAGTATCTCGTTGATGTCTATACCAAATAAAGTAATATAATTAATCTAATCCAGACACTTTTTCACTTGTATAATTAATTGTATAATTAATTCTAATATGTATAAGATTGTCTGTTACTCTTATTTGATATTTATTATAAGGAAGAAGGGTAACTCAATAATATTATATACAATTTAAAGAAGCTTATACATTTTGAATTTTTTGTTATTAGTATAATGAATTTCATATTAATTAAGAGAGGACCACTCTAAATCTATAGCAATGTAAATTTTTCTGCTAATAAAAGTGCAGTCATAGCAAAGTCATTACTTTATAAGTAATAAATATATGGATTTTCACTGCTTTGAAGTTTATCTGTCTATTCTTACGTAATGGATTTTGCTCAAACAATCGAAGCGAATGCTGGAGCCATCTGTATTACCGATAAAACTAATGTTTTTTAAATTTTTGTTCCTGTCGAATTTTTTCGTAGTTTTACAGCAAAATTTCCATGAAATGTACATATTAATGTACTTGTCACTGGTTTATTTTGTGTCCAACCAAAATAGGAAAAAATAAAAAATTACAGATTTCTTTATCCATTTTTATCTCAGTGTGGCGATCAACGTTGAAGGTAAAATGGATAAAGAAATCTGTATTTTTTAAATTTTTTCCACAAAATATATCAACTTTGAACATAAAATATACGGCAAGTAGCATTATATCTTTAATAATGCACAAGAACTATCTTATAATTTATGTCTTAAGTCTTAAACATAATGCGAAGGCAACAGCGATAGTGATAGAAATAGCGATAGCGATAGAAGCAGAGGAATCCAATATGGGAATGCATAAGTCAATGCATATAAGAATATGTTACACTAACAAGTGGTAAAAAATATATCAATTTTGAAATTTTTGATCGTTCTGGACATACTCCACTTTCAAAATACGTATTAATGCGTATACTTTAATCTTGAAAAAGGATTCGAAATGGTAAAAAAAGGAAAAAATTGTTTGCTATTCAAAAATTGCATGATTTAATCAGTAAAACAGAAAGTTTTAGGATCCTCTTAAATCATAAGACACTATCTTAAGATTATAAATCAGCCTTTCTGCGAAGAAAGGCTGACCCTAAGAAAAAAAATAATTTGAAATGAAAGAAATAAAAAAAGATTTTTAGAATGAAAAATATCAATTTTAACAATAATTCATAAAATGTGCAAGACATTTATTTAACCAGAAAAATTTAATCAAGGATTTTTAATTAAATTAGGACTGTTTTTATCAGAACAATAATATTATAGAACGCATAAATTATATGTACAGAATACATTGTTATTTTTTAGACAAAGATCAATTATTGCACAGTTATTGTGTTGAAATATGCATATTGTAATCATTAATTATAATGTCTTTTTCAATACTATAAGTAGCATAAACTTCAACATTTTTAATGATAATGATATAATTATAGATATACAAAATAAATGTGTTCTTAATAAAAATATCAATGTTTCATAAAAATACTTGAGATTTATGTATAAAAAATTATATATATTTATAAAATATATTTTGTCGATGCTATGTGAAAACCGCAGAATGGCAAGATTATTGAATTGTATCAAAACATTTTTTTTAAATTATATATTTTATATCCAACATCGTATATTAAACAAAGTTATGAATTGCTAAACTTGAATTTAAAAAATTTTCAAACAAATTCGTTTACAATTTTAAGCATGATTTGATTAATAAATTTTAATGTAGACTTCTTAAGCTATTTTAATTTCACGGTTAACATGGCATCAATAATTCATGGAAAATATTAAAAATATCATATAATTATATTATACTAATTACTATTAATGTTTGTGGTTAACCTAAAAAAATACAAAACCATAATTAAATCTATTATGGCAAAATATTTCATAATGTTATAAACAATACAAAATAGCTATTTATAAAGTATCAATGTAATAAGTACATAATATAATTAATAGAGCATATTAATAATTTTGATTTTTAGACTCAACTATCTCCTATATAAATTGGAATTATATCTATACATTTGGAAAGCTATATTTGATCATAAAAAGAAAATTTGTTAACAAATACATATAATATTGAAAAGCAAAATCGTTTTCTTTTTTTAAATAATCATGTGTAAAAATGAAAATGTAAAATATATTAAATATTCTCAAAAATATGAGTGATTCATGTAACAATTTACATACTTAATACTTTCACTAATATTTTGTGAATAAATGAGATAGATTAAGATATAGATATATATATAATATATACATAAAGATAAAAACTTATCAATGACACATAATATAGATAGTTGAAATATTACTGAAATAAATGCATAAAAGATATGTAGAAAAATTAAGTACTTCACGTACTTTAAATAATATAAACATACAAATATTTTAACGTATATTCTTTGATATGCTTTCTCACATATACGACAGTATTATCAGGTATATTGGATTGGTTTTTATACCCACACACCATGTGGATTCTTACTTGTGGGCACTGCAGTTTCCAATTGCCTTGGTGATCCTATCATTTTACGTGTACTCCCAGGTTTATGGGCACCTAATGATTAAGTGATTTTATTTATTAAACATTTTATATACGAAACAGAAACTTAATAACATATACATGTACACATGACATAAATATGATATGATATAAATATAATGACCTTCTAATAAAGATTTGACTTGTTCATCTGAGCATGCAACAGCTAAACTTTGTAGATTTGCTTCTTTCATGTCGGCTACCAATCTCTCTACTTGCAATTTCTTCTCAACGATCGCCGATTCCAGATTAACTACTTCTAATTTTAATGATTCTGCATGTTGTGAAGCTAATTCAGTTGCGCGTTTGGCTTGTTCCACCTCATTTTGCAAATGTTCCACTTCGCTGATTATTTTTCGTTCCATAATTTGCCGCTCATCTGTTTCACGACTTATATTGTGTTGTTCCATTGCAAGTTCTTCCATAACTAGCCTGTTATAATTCACATTTTAATTTAACGCAATGCAATTTCTTATGTTATAATATATTAAAGAATATTTGAAGGAATAACAAATCATTTTTACAATTCTATAAATAAAATTATGCTTGCATTTACCTTATCTTGTTTTTACATTGAAGAAGTTCCGTTTCGCAATTGGCAAGTTTTGATCTAAGCAATGTTATTTCTGACTTCAGTGTTTTTTCCTGCTGCCTAACTATTTCACTTTCTTCTTCTACATGAGCCAATTCTTTCAACTAATCAAGATAAATAATAATTAATAATTCGTTACTAATATTAATGTATAATAATACATGGTAATTAAAGAAAAAAATAGATAAAAGTTACTTGTTCCTCAATTATTCGACCAGTAGACTCAATGCGATTCATTTCTTGGGAAATATAATCCATTTGATGCATTTGTTCTCTACTCTTTGTTTCCCAATACAATATTTCTGCATCAAACTAAAATCAATAAATTATAGTTTATTGCATATTTTGCAAATAAATTAATCGAATCAATCTTAAGAAAGTCAATATTTAGAAAAAAATATGAAATATTCTTCGGTAATTATATTAAGTCAAACTATCAAAAAAGATACTTACTTTTGTTAGATCAGCTTGTTGAGCATTAATAGTATCCCGTTGCTTATTGACTAGTCTTATAAGTTCAACATATCGTTGAGTATAAGCGACAGTTGCCATATTTTGTGTCGTGACAGAAAGTGGATTAACAGATTGTGTAGGCACTTTTGTATCTTGAAATTCCTATAACATATATTATAAATTGCACACAATCCTATAAATTATTATATCAAACATATTTGTAGCAACAAAACCTGGATAAGATTCCTTTTCAATTTCATGGAATTACTAGATGATGGTTGATCATCTTTGTGCACATGAGGACTTCCACTGCCATGTACAAATTGTGATCTTCCAGGACTGTTTAAATTTGGTGGCGGTGGATCTCGGTAAGGTGGCAAAGTGCGTAAGGGTGGCGAAGCTGGGCCTGGAGGCTCTCTGTAAGGTGGAACCTCGCGTACTTTTTTTTGCGACAAGTGTGTTGCAACTAAAGAAAAAAAAATAAATTAATAACAAGATAAATACTATCATGAGAATCGTTGCAATATATGTATAAAATATATAATAAATTACAATAGAATAACTTACTTTCAGCATTAGTCCCTCGCGTAGGTGACTGTGCTGGTTTTTGTACATTTTTTCGAACATTCAAATCTTTATTCTTCAAATGTGGCGTGGGCTGAACAACAGCCACATTATTCTCCATTTGAATCTAAAATAACATTTTTTATTTGCACATATATAATAAAAATTAATTACGAAAAACCTAATGTAAACAAAGATATGACATGAAGACATAATTATAAATGTTATTAATGTAATAAAATTTATAATAAAATATTTATTGTTAATAATATTTATGTAATTTATGCTAATATATATAATATATTAATATACATATACACATTTGTCTTTTTTTTTATTTATTTAACAATATAGACTTACCTCTGTGCTACCTTCTGTAATACTTCCATGAAAGCCACTAAATGTAAGTGATTTCCTTGTATCTCTATTCCTCTCTAATCCTCCTTGTGTATCATCAAAATCTGAACTTTGCATAGTTGATACATTTTTGCTCTCATCCTGTATACTAGCAGTACCTGTTCCATCAGGCAATGAAATTGGTAATCCATTTGCACGCGATGAATACGTTAGTCGTGATGGTAATGCATTTGTTTTATTTTCCGATGTGGAACGTCTCAGAATCAATTGAACTTCTGAAGAGTATTCACCCCATTTCATCAAAATCTGATCAACATAAATACAATGTAAATTTAATTATTTCTCATATGTGATTATATTAATCTATACATTTTAATTTATTAAAGACTTTTACATTTTGTTAACAATATAAAATATAAGCTCATGATAAATTATCTTAATGTACTATTATCATAGTACATGTAGAAAATATGCCTGACCTTAAGAGGATTCTCATAAGGTGCCAGCAAACGTTCATTGGTTCGCCAACGCTCCACCAAAGTGAATCTACCTGTTTGAGCTGTAGCATGAGCAAGTGCATACACCACATCCTAAAAATAAATAGTCATTAGCAGCAGAATTTAAAATAAACAGTCTTGCAAGAGATAAAACAAAAGAAGCATGATGATAAAATCTCAATAATGATAAAATCTCAATCATTGAATCATGCAATCAGTTAAATTATTGATTTTCTTTTCATATTTATTGATATTTATTTTCATAATTTCATATATATATTCTTTATTGCATTATGCTAATAAAAATTTGTATACTAAATTTGTAAAATTTGTATGATGTTTCATTTTATCCATTTGTTACAAAATAGCTATTTAATTCCAATAACTATACATATAATTTGATTGATGTTTAATTCTTAATAATTGATATATTTCTCTGAATTATTTTCTATATTGATATATGCATATATATATACACACACACACGCGCGCGCGCGCGCACACACACACACACACACACACACACACACAGAGTATACAAACACGTTTAAAATTAGTACAATAGAATGGTTGTAAACAATAGCAAACTTTATGTGATATACATACTTGACAGGTGGTGGTATCGGTAACGCCACACACAATGCGTTGAATTCCCTCCACCCACACCTTCAGCTCCATCATGTTGTGTTAGGATGGAGATGATATCGAGTCCCGAACTTAATTCTTTACATCGCAGATGCAATCAGTTCGTGTCAAGAAACATCGGTTGTTCCTCATCTTCGTACAACTGTTATCATAACCTCGCGATCGATCGCGTACGTCTTGATGAAATTTTTAACTCCAGACGAGGACAATCGATTTTTTTCGATACGATCGTTTAATCACCATCGAGGGTGGAGCGGATGGATCTAACTTCCCTTCCGACGAGCTTTTAATTTCTCTTTAACTTCCGATGTATGATTACGGAGGTGACAGATGAGCTACTATAGCGACACAGTACGTAAGCGGCGGTTTACATCAAGTTACTGCATGTGCATGATGAATAAATGATTAATAACAATTGATAAAGTCGAGCGCATATTCATAATCTCTTTCCTCTTTTTTAAAAAAATATATATATGTATTTTTAAAGCAAGTTAGAAGTTTGCTTCTTTCTGAGAATATCTTTAATGTTATGACTTTAATCTTGGAAATAAAATTTATATAATTACAATATAATTTCGGTAATGTAGAAATCTTCTTTCTTTGTATTCAAAACATTATATAAAAATTAAAAAATGGAAAAGTATGTTCAATACAATTATTAATTAATTAAAATGTAATTTTTGTATATACTGAAAACAAATAAATCTTGATAAAACATCTGATTATCCAGTCCTTTTGCTAGAGAAGGAAAAAGTGATCGCAAGGTATCTCAGAAAAAGAACAAAATTATTTTCCATTAAAGGAAAATTTTATTTTTATATATACATAAGGAAAAAAAGATGTCATAAAGAACTACTTCTTGGCTTTCTTATCCTTTGCGACTTTAGTCATCTCGTCGGGATTGTCAGATGCATCCTTAGCGCGCTTTGCACGAATGCCGACTAATCGCGCGTCAGCTCGTGCTTTACGAAGGGTTATATATGCAGAGAATTTAGTTTCTTCCTCGGTAACAGGACGAGCCTTTGCTTTAGCAGGTGCTTGATGCCGGATAGGCATGGGATCTCCCTTAATTTGAACTGCAAGTTTCCTTTCCTCTTCGGTCGCATCACCCTTCTTAGGCTGAAATTAAAAAAAAAAAAAAAAAAAAAAAATGAATATATAATTAAAATAAGAATAAATTTTTCATAAACGGTCAAACTGTCATACATTTCTCAATTTTTAAATAATATAAAGAAAGAACACGTTCTGTAAATTGATAAAACAATTTGAAATTATGTACCTTCTTCTCATTTACGGGGAACAGGATCAATTTAGCCTTATATTCCTTCAAACGCTGAGCATTAGTTTGCAAAGACTCAATGGACTTGTTACGACGACGAGGATCAACCGCAATTCCGATTGTTTTAGCAAATCTCTTATTTAAACCGCTAGCTCTCAGCTCAGCGAGCGTGAAACCTTTGCCAGCACGAACCTTGGTATGGTAGCGGAATGTCGGACAATGCACGATAGGTCTCAGAAGATTTACAGGCCTAAAATACAATCAATGGTATTTAACTGTTAAAATACAACAATGATATTTAACTGTTAAAAAAATATAAAAGTAATTTTATATCGTGCAAATATGATAACCATTAAATAGAGATCTTGGATCTAGAAATAATAGCAGTTCAACATAATATTTATTTTGTAATTCGATAAAATAAGATTATAATATATATATAATTATTTCTGTAGCTTTAAAATTATGATCTATAATTAATGCAAAGAAAACTTTCAACTTTGTAAAATAAACATATTCTGCTGAATGCAGCCAATATTAATTATTACAATATATAAACGTTCATAGGCATATCCAGGAGAGAGAACTTAAAAAATAAATAAAAAAGATAACCTTATTTTTTATTTTGAATAAATTTTTGTTATCACATAAAATATTTATTTTCTATATTGTTACTCAAACACATCTTAATTGTCGCACGATTAGTGCTTCATACTTGCGATAAAATACCAACTTACTTTTATAAAAATTTTCCATATATTAAATTTTCCAATATATTAAATAGTTTCGAACTTATCTGATTATAAATTATTTGATATTCAAATAAGTGTATTTGATTATTTTAGAATTTTTATCATAAATGTTAATTACATAGTTGAGAAAAATAACAAAATAAATTACTAGTTACATGTAAGAAATATTAATATCATTGACAAATTTTTGATTAATTTACTAACCAGCTGTGTAGAATGAGCTAGTTAGAACGATCGTGACAGCTGTTATGTAAAGGAACATTATATATCATGACTTTAACTTGTAATGTTCTCATCAAAAAAACAATGAATTGGTTGCTCTACATGACAGTGAATATTGTAACATTATTTCTCAATTTAATATGACAAAATCAGATTTGCGATTAACATTGGCAAATGTTTTCTTCGACCTGCAATTTATATCATTTAATGGCATGGAATTGATTATAATGTAGATATGTCTCTTATTAATTAATTTAAGTTGTTATTCTGTCATGATTCTTAATAATTTAATATTAAAATTTTGCATGTAATTCAATTATTATTTTCTGCTGATGAAGAATGCTATATTACCAGAAACGTTCGGAGTTATTTATTTTCTTAAGCTTTTTTAAGATTTTATTAAATTATATCAAATAAATATAAAATGTATTAAAACAATAAAATCTGATTTTTGCTTGTTATATCTAACCTTTGCTTATTTTATTGTATTGTTACTAAATAAGCTCATCATTATTTATATTACTATTTTTTTTCTTGTCACAACCATGTAAATAATTTCTGGAAGTTAGAAATTTGACACGATCCAACATAAGAAAATTTTTCACAAGATTTTTGAATAAAAAAAACAGAATACATGCAAAAATATTAATAAATACTCCATTTACAATTAGACATTTTAATTTTAAAAACTATATTTGATCTATACGTATTTCAGGAAAGAAATAAAAGTTATAATTTACAAAAATGTTCTTTTCCATTTAAAATCAAGAATGAGAAGGAGATACATGCTAAACTCCAAAAGCAAAAAGATGTAGTTTATGTGATAACAAAATGATTAAAATTCACTTCATTTCATTCAAAATGAAAAAATTCTGGATATGCCCATGCAAATGTTATCTGTACACATACCTAGGAGCAATAGCTCGTGCCTTTTTGATACGTTTTTGTTTACGACGGATCTTTCTCGCTGGTTGATTAAACCAGGTCTTCACGTATCGTTGCCAATCCTTATGGAAATGGCCATTTGGGATCATATTATTCCCTTTACCCATGGTTGACGCCTAATGTCTGCAATAGAATCAAAATTAAAAATTTTTACATCACTTGAAACTTGAGATATTTTTGTAATTAAGATGTTTGGTAACTAATTTGTTGTGGTAACTAATTTGTACGAAAAAAAAGGTTAGGCTCCCTGATGAGCACAATAGCAGTTTAATTAAACAAACATAAATAACTCATATTTACACAAAATTGTAGCTAATGTTAAATACATTAAATTATTGAGAAAAAACTGCAACAGAGAAAAAAATCGAAGAAAACAAAAGTTCACCAGCAGCAGTTTGACCCTGTATTCTAACCTCTCCTTCGCGGAAACAGAATTCAAATCGAAAACAATTATCTCAATACAAGGATTACACATGAGGCAAAAGCAGTTAGAAATATAAAAAGTTGCACATTCCCGTCGTTATATATTACGCAACATAAACGATGGTAATACCTCCTACAGATTTAATGTTCTATGACATTCACTCACCAACTCACGCACACGAGACAAATCGGAAAAGGAACGTGAGACCGGCGGAAATGGCATTTTTGTGAGTAGAAATCTCTTTGTCAGACAGGAACAAAATCTTTTTACGCGTTTTTCGAAATTAATAACAATGTCAATAATAATATTAATAATATTCAAGGCTAACTAATATTCCAGATTGACAAAGTAAATTATACTTTTCAATCTATAAACAGTAATTTATCTACAGTTGTATAGAAAAATGGCTGCGCACGTGAGCACAGTAGCGTGAGCATGTATACACTATCATTCAGTCTCACTTTGTTTATATGGAAGAAATTTGATTTTAATGACGATGCAAAGATTATCTTATCCTCTCAAAATATCACGATGCAAGATACGAAAGTGTTTAAATAATTTTTTTCACCAATCGTTGCAACTATCTACTTCTGATACATCATTGGTATTTTTATTTAATGTTTAAGTTATCTCTCTTGATTTTATGTAAAATGTAAGATATAAAATTTGTTTAATTATTCTAGCCTTTTTATTTTACTCATACATGCAATAATAATAAAAAATTTTCAATATTTAGTAATCACCTTATGTAAATAATTTTATTAATAAAATAAGAATGAAGTTCGAAAATTGTTATATCTCGCTTGGAATGTTATTTATTAATGAAATATTGCTTTTCAGTCTTCAGTGTATTCGATAAACATGAAGAAGATAGAAAAGTATTGGGGTGATAAAATTAATCCTTATAAATCCAGTGTTAATGGAGATGCTAAAGATAAATTTTACATTCTTTCTATGTTTCCATATCCATCTGGTGCCTTGCACATGGGTCATGTTCGAGTTTATACAATAAGTGACACTGTAGCTCGATTTTATAGACTAAAAGGCAGGCCTCAAAAACTTATAATATTGATTCATACGAGATTGAAAGAATAAGTCTTTATAATGATATATTTAAAAAACCAATTTTAATAATATAAAATAAATTTAGGCAAGAATGTAATTCATCCAATGGGCTGGGACGCCTTTGGATTGCCAGCGGAAAATGCGGCTATTGAAAGACAAATCAATCCTGCTGTATGGACAACTGAAAATATAAAGACAATGCGTAACCAATTAAAAATGTTAAATTATTCTTTTGATTGGGATCGAGAATTTGCAACCTGTGATCCAGATTATTATAAATGGACTCAAGAACTGTTTCTAAAGTTATTCGATAAAGGTTTGGTCTATCAAAAGGAAGCTTACGTTAATTGGGATCCTGTCGATCAGACTGTATTAGCTGAGGAACAAATAGATGTAAATCAACGATCTTGGAGATCTGGTGTACTTGTTGAAAAAAAATTGTTAAAGCAGTGGTTTATTAGAACAACAGCTTTTGCAAAGTAAGTTGTAAGTAATATGTGTGTATATATATATATACATATGGTGTTCTGAAAAATTAATATTTTTAATAAATAAATAATATTATAGATCATTATTGGAGGGTTTAAATGATCCAACCTTGAAGGAATGGAGAGATATTACAAAGTTGCAAAAACACTGGATAGGTGATTGTAATGGCATTAATATTGATTTTAAATTAGTATCCGAAATTCCAGAGTTTCCAAGAACATTAAATATATGGATTGACACACCAGAATTTGTAGAATACGCAAAGTTTGTTGCTATATCCTCTCAAAGTATATTAAATCGTAAAGAGCATACATATGAAATAGATGTTGGAATAAAAAGTTTAAATGCAAAAATAATAAATCCATTTTCCGGTGAAGAGTTGCCGGTTTTTATCACTGACAAAGTTGTTTACCCATCATGGAGAGATGTTCGCTTGGGTATTCCTTCGGCATCAATGGACGATTTAAAATTTTCGGAGTTAATTGGAATACCATTTACTCGGCATTCAATACGTAGCTACGAACAGCAACAGCAGAAGATATCCGAAGTATTCCAAAAAGCTAGAGAATGGGGTATAGGCGGATATCCAGTAAGCTCAAAATTGCAGGATTGGTTAATCTCTAGACAGAGGTATTGGGGTACACCTATACCTATTATTCATTGTACAAATTGTGGCACACAACCTGTACCTCGTAATCAACTTCCTGTGATATTGCCAAAGATGACGCACTCAAGCTCGAATAAAAGATTCTCGATCCAAGATATGAAGGATTGGTTGCAGACGAAATGTCCTAAGTGTGAAGGAAATGCTACTAGGGAAGCCGATACAATGGACACGTTTGTAGATAGTAGCTGGTATTTTCTAAGATTTATGGATCCCAAAAATACAAAAGAGATGTTTTCGGTAGAAAAAGTTAAGGAAATGTTTCCCGTAGATCTCTATATAGGTGGAAAAGAACATGGTATAATAGCAACATTTTCTTAATTACTGTACTTTGGAATTTTTGTCAAATTAAAATATTTTTTACAAATTTTACCCCTTTTAGCCGTGCTGCATTTATATTTTGCCCGATTTATGAGTCACTTTCTGCACTCAGAAGGTCTTTTACCATACCGAGAACCATTTAAACAGCTCCTCGTGCAAGGAATAGTAATGGGTAAAACATATCAAGTTATAAATACTGGCAAATACATACTAGAAAATGAAGTGTTGAAAGAAGGGGATCAGTACAAAACGAAATCCGGAGAACTCGTCTCCATGCGCTGGGAAAAAATGTCAAAATCAAAGCTTAATGGAGTTGATCCTCTCATTCTGTTGAATAAATATGGAATAGATACGACAAGATTATTAATATTGGCCGATGTTGCGCCAACATCCACTAGAAATTGGTCAGAAAATAGTAAGTTTCTTAATTTACAATTACTTTTTTAAATGTTCTTATTAGAACATAATATACTTATTCATAATTACAGCTGTTACAGGTATAAGCAATTGGCAAAACCGTCTTTGGACTGTTGTTAAACGATTTAAAACTGAACGCAACAAAATATCTTTGGAGGAACTCGAAAGCAAACCTACTAATCCTAAATACGCTGAACAGGATGCATACATGTTTGACAGCCGGAATTATTTTCTAAAAAACGTGACATTTAACATAGTAGAATCGCAGCAACTTAGTATAGCAATATCTCGACTGCAAGGCCTTACAAATAGGTAAATAATTATATTTATATTTTAGTAATTCCGTGCATAGTGTAATTTTAATTTTTAATATTCAAATATACACATAGAATAAATCTAAATCTGTAATTATAGCTTACGAAAAGTTGACTTGGAGTGTCTAAGAAAAAGTCGCGAATTCGAGCGAGCGTTAGCTGTTCAAATTATAATGCTCGCTCCATTCGCTCCACATTTTGCTTCTGAGTTATGGGCTATATTCTGTTCTGCTAAGTATCATCTTATAGATAATACTGAAGTTGACTTAAACAAAACTATATTTGAACAGAAATGGCCAGATATTGACATGGATTATAATCTTGTAATGAATGTTTTTGTAAGTATCCTGATATGTATGATTCTATTATTAAAATATAAATACATGGAAAATCAAAGTGTTTACAAAATATATATATTTCTATTTTTCAAATTTTAATTGATCATATTTATACCATATGTACATCATAGGTAAACCAAAGAAAATTTCTCAAAATGAAAATTCCTCGACGTGAATTGGACAAAATGGCGGCAGATACAGCGTTAGAATATGTGATCCTCCATCCGTATTATCAAAAATATTCGTACAATAAAAATGTTGTAGGTGTCAATTTTAAAGCAGAGAAAAGCTGTGATGCGTCGTTGTACATAACCATGGAAAAACAGAAAGAAGATTAGATAAAAAATAGCATTATTTCAATTTGTACACATAAGATATTGATAGAAATTTATTATATTTATTAAGACAAAAATATTTATTACAAAGAGAAACAACAAAGTTTTTCAACTAAAATAATAGTTCAATTTGCTTACCTAATGTCATAGTCGCCTTCATATCCATTATCTGGAATGGTTTTCAAGAATTTTATATAATCAGTGGGAAGTTTGTTTTCTTTAGCCCCTTTTAATATCGTATTTCTGCATGAATCATGGAAAATTTTAAGAAGTTAAAGATAAAAATAATTGTGTTCAAATTACTGCAGTTGCTTTTTAAATTGCATATAATGGCATACAGATATAATGGTGAAGGTCTCTTATCCATTGGAAAATCTTCTGGCTTTATATATTCCTTTGGATTATTACATTGCTGGTACACTCGACAATTTAGAGTTCTACCACCAGGAGTTTCAACATTTACTGACATTGCATGGTATATATTATCTTGAACACCTTCTTGACAGTCTAATGTAGCTAAATTGCACTTGTCTAATTCCCAGATTATACCCCATACCACTGAATGTTCTGTTTCTACAATTGTGGCAGATGCTCCATGCCATCGTTTAGAATATCTGTAAAAATCCAGCCTAAAATTCTGTAATAAAAATACATAATGTATTATTTTATATAAATATACTGTATATATGTTAATAAATATATTAATATATAAACAATATAAATGTAATAAGATTAATATTAAGATTTTCTTGTTTGTGCGTTTGAAAAGAAATTTAATAAGTTTAATAATTTATAATTTATATTAACATAAAGTTCTAAGAATTTTTTCAGAATTTTTTCAGAATTTTTTAAAACTATATTTCCTCATGTTGGTAAAAATAAGAAAATGTAGTACTAAAAAGTTAATAAAAAATTCTGAAAAAATTTTTAAAGTTCCATGAGAAGAAAATAAATGATTTTTGTCTCTTGCAACTTTTCTGTAAAGTTGATAGTATTTGAATAAAAAATTATTATTATACAAGACCAATATTTGGCAATTTTTAGTAATTAATATCTTATTGACTATCGAAAATTGCAAAATAGAAAACTTTTCGACTCAATTTCCGCTCTATCTACACAAAAGCAATTGGCAAAAACTTCGGGACACCCTGTATACATACATAGGGTAAATGTTAATGCATATCCGTACCATGAGAGAGTGAATGAAAGTGAATGATCGACTGCATCTGTAATCATCTTTTTTTTAAATTCAAAGAAAGAATTTTAAAAAGTGAATTTTTTTTAGTTTATAATGATCATCTGTGCTATTTCAGCACGTATATGTGATTTAAGCGGGTGCTTTCCAGCAAGAACACAGTCACACACTGTGTAACACTATGAATCGTTTCATCCTTATTTAACATAGGCAAATAACAAAGATGTAATGATTTACTGTATTACGCTGGCTACGGTCGATTTGGACGCTCTCAGCACTTTTCAGTACTTCTATTCTTATTTTACATCTAATGAATAAAGACAGAATAATGATTATAAGCGCTTAAAGCCCATGAGCATCCAAATCGATTGCAGCCACTGTGTTTTGCTGGAAAGCACCCATTGATAGCCATTTGCATATACATCGTTTAGATGATTATAACTGCAGTCGGTATAGACGCATTAGCATTCATCCTGTATATAACAATTAATATTTATATCCATACAAAATTTGGAATAAATTCTGTATTAAATCAATCAGTACTTTGTCAATCAACAAACTTGGAAACATGGAATAACTTAAAAAAAATATGTATACATCTTGATTTTTTTTTCTTAATTACCTTTATGTAACCGATATCTTTCATTATTGCGGTTGGATTACATAAATGTATCCTCTTAGCGCATAAGTTGCTCCCATAAGCGAAATACAGAAACGTGTTTGCCATTTTTCAGACTGATCCAAACTGGTCTTGCAAATTTTTCACAAATAAAGGATCTCTTTTACCAACCTCGGTTAAGTTAACCAACGGTTACATGGGATTTCTCATTTAAGCCCAGTTTCAACTTATTATTAAAATAAGTTAAACCTCGGTTAAAAAAAAAAGTTAATCATGAGTTATGAAACTGGGCCTAAACGAGCCTCATGTAACTTAAGCCGGTTAACTTGACCAAAGTTGATGAAAGAGACCCAAAGTAATAAAATGTTTCGCTATCACACTACTTGACACTAATGTATTACTGCTACTGTCAAAATAACGACGAGGTCGAGTCGAGCGCACATATATATAAAACACTGTGTGTACAAAATATATTGTGTGTGTATCTACGAAAGATAAGATATGTCATGGTTCTTCCACCTGCATACAAATATAATATATATTTTATGTGCACAGTGACAATTAAGTGTTGTTAATAATAATAATCCTGAAGAAAGAGGACGCGCTCCTCGCCTCTCACGAGCGCCGTTTCGGTCTCTACGGTGACACTACGGTTTATCACTTGATTAACTTTTATCTGTCTAATTAATCAACCGAATTTCTGTCATGATTCTCAGTGTCAGTAAATCCAGCGATTGATTTGAAGCGCGTTTTGAAACCTAAATCCGACCGATCACATCTGAAGCGTTCGGTGAGTTGTGTTTGGTCGAACTCTAGAGCTTTTAGCTCTCTCTCTCTCTCTCTCTCTTGTTCTGTCTCGATCGTTTTCCCTTTTTTTCTTTCTCTATCATATTTATCATCGTGGCGACACTGGCGATCGTGGACGGCGTGGACTGCAGAGTGCAGGCTGCACTTCTGCCACTTCTGGACACTTTGCAGAGACATTCGGAACATTTGACGGCGTGGACAGTGGACTGGCGTAGGCCGCATGGATACAGAACAATTCAGCGGGATAACGCCGCTGGAATAGCTTGGAGGTGTTTTTTCATAAGCTAAGTCGTAAATCGTGTAGAGGTAAGGCAGGCTTGAATACACAAAGACATAATTACGCGTTGTTTATCACTCCATCTGTCTTCCCCCGGAACGCTCTGTAATAACATGTTGTTCGCGTCAATCATCCCCGCGTCTCTTGGTCTCTGCTCTTGTTCTTAAGACCCTTGTTTTGTTTTTTGATTCACTATGAAGGATTATAGTATCATTCGACAAAGAATCAAGGATCCAGTGATAATTTTCTCAAGCAGAAATTTCACTTGTTCAAGACTTGCAATTATTATAGTAATGTATCAATTCAAATACTCAAATAGGCCCCTTTCATATATTAAACCTTTTAAAACCTAATCACACAGATTGAACAGTGAGTTCAAGTGAGTTTCTTTAAGTACGACATAAATAGAATAGTTACCACATGAAAAACCGTGTATGAAACATGGATGGAATCAAATCTGGATGAGTGGACCAAGTGACATATTTTATATTTCATCTCTTTAACTATTATTTTTCTAAAGTTTTTTTTATGGCGCGAAAAATTATTATGGGATTTCTAAAGATGAAATCAAACATGATGCTTGATTTCTTGAATAATATCATGTGATTCTATTTTAGACTATATTCAGATTCAAGTGTCATCCATATCACTCTATCATTATTTACCAAACAAGGATAACATGACATTCAGAGAACACTTGAGTGAGAATCTGCAACACATTTCTTAAGAATAAGGAGAGAAAAAGAGAAAAGATGTACTTTTACTTGATGCTATGTTCATTTTTAGCTTCAAAACAGATCATGTGATCAAAATTGGTGAATATCGAGCGTCATTTTCTGACTTAAAAAGAGCATAGTAAAAATACAACCAAAGAGAGATGTGCATTCCTGATTTTTAATGTTTTTTATTAGAACGAATTCGTTTTTAAACGAAAAGTTTAATAAATATAAAAATCATGTAGGTATATGCAACATGCAGCTCTCAATGTATGAACGAATTATCGCATACATCAGAGCAGACATAACTATACAAGTTATCATTCAAGAAATCGAGCATCGTGTGACTTCATCTTAGGATCTCTTTCATCAATCTCAGGTAAGTTAACCGACAGTTACATGGGATTCATTTATATCCGTTTCCATCAATTTATTCTTTATCGTTTTCTAATTCTAATAAAAGATTAGAATAAGACGAAGAGTAAGTTGAATCGAGATTAAAGTTAATCTACGTTGGTAGAAATGGGCATTAGACCCAGTTTCACAATTCATGATTAATTTTTAACTGAGGTTTAATTTATTTTAAGTAATAATGGATAATAATGAATAATAATGAGTTGTGAAACTGGGCCTAAATGAGCCTCATGTAATCGTCAGTTAATTTAACCGGGGTGGGTGAAAGAAACTCTTTAACAGGGTTGTCACAGATCTAGAAAACTGAGAAAACCAGGAAAAATCAGGGAAATTGATGGAAAACTGAGAAAAGTCAGAGAAAAATGTAAAAAATCTGGAATTTTGAAATTTGCTCATAATTTCCTTAAATTTCTATTCCAGATAATTGTTATAATTTTTTAATATTATTGATGTAAAACATATTCAAAACTCGCACACTTTAAACGATTAATATTTACGAATTTAAATTAATAAAATTAAAATTTATATTTTATTCAGTATTTTTATTTAAGCGCCCTTTTTCGTAATTACATTTTTTTCCAATATTAATTTATTTTTTGTTGGCTTGAATTTGCACCAAAAACTTTAGTACGTTACTAACCTTTTTTTGCGTTGTTTTTAATAATATAGGCTAGCTTTCCTACAATTCTTGACTTTAAATGTGTTAAAATTTATATATTTTATATTGGAAAATTTTCCATTTTCATCTGGAAAATCTGGAAAAGTCAAAGAATTTTAAAATTTATTTTCTGTGACAATCCTGTTTAAGGATTAAAGAGAAAGAAAGAAAGAAACGGTGTATTTTAACCTGCTGTAACGTTCATTTTTAGCTTTAAAACAGGTCATGCGATCAAAATTGGCGAATATCAAGCTGACCTGTTCTGACCTGAAAATGAGCGTCGTAAAGTCAGGTAAAAATATAGCCAAAGAGAGATGTGCATTCCTGATTTTCAATTTTTTTCATTGGAATGAACATTTCATGAAAGAAAAGCGCGGATTGCACGATATTGTGATAAAGCATATAATATTTTCATGATAATTTAAAAATAGTATAATATTTTAATTTAATTTGTTATTATATGGGCAGATATTTTTAGAATTGGAATGTTTTTGGAATTTATATATATATTTATATTTATA